AAGTGTATTGGTGCATTTTTTGAGGACTTCAAAGTACATGGATAGATGAGACTCTGCTATCATGACAACCCCATCATTTTTCCATTTTATTCACCTTTTTGCATTTAGCTTGGTTGTGGTTTGCTTTCCCTACTGAAAGAATGAGTACTTCTGGGTATTAACTCAGTTGTGCTTCCCCTGGGCTTTATTTCTTTACAGAACTTAGAACTCTCAATAAAGGCATGGGCTCAAATTAGACTTTGCCACTTATTAGTTATGTCCTTGGAAAAATCAGTTTGTCTCCCTGAGCCTCAGGTGTTTCATCTGTGAAATGGGGATGTTAATACCTCATTTGCAGAGTTGTTCTGAAGACAAAATGGAAACAGCCTAAGTACTTAAAAGGCACATGGCAGGGCTCCACAGATGCTAGTTCTCTCCCTTTCTTTATTGGTCTGCCCTTGGACCAAAGTCATCCTTCCCAGGATTCTAACTAAAGTGGTATAGACAGTGGCATCTGGCTGGCTCAGTCAGGAGAGCATGTGACTCTTGATCTTGGGGTCATGAGTTTGAGCCCCATGCTGGGTATAGAGATTACTTAAAAAAATAAAAATAAAAAAAAATAGAGTGCCTGGGTGGCTCAATCGGTTGAGCCTCCTACTTTAGCTCAGGTCATGATCTCACAGTTTGTGAGTTCAAGCCCTGCATGCTCGCTGCTGTCTGCGCAGAGCCCATTCCAGATCCTCTGTCCCCCCCACCTCTCTGCCTCTCCCCGCCGCCTGTGCTCTCTCTCTTTCTCTCAAAAATAAAGAAACATTTAAAAAATAAAATTAAAAATACAAATATAAATAAAAAATAAAGTGATACAGACAGCTGAACAATCTTAAATCACAGTTAGGTGTTACTCAGGCCGTATATCTTCTGATCCATCTCTGACTACTGTAAGTGCTATGGCTGGCCTCTCCTAGTACCCAGAACAGTGGGAGTGTTGAAAAGCAAAAGGAATTTTTTTGTTGGAAAATATCCCAAAGTATTTATTTCAAATACACATTATTGGTTTTCTTTTCCTCTTGAATGATCTGAATAGTGAGAGTTGGTTAATTAGGTTAAGCTTTGTAAGCATCCCAGGATTACATTTTTGGTTTATTAAACTATAAAATGTATAAACCAATGTTAATCTGCAATACATGAAGTGTTCCTTGGGGCTGAACAGCAGGGAGCAGATAAAACTCATGCTCTAACATACAGTACATCGTTCTTAACATGGGACGAATGTTATACACAATTTTTAACAGTTCATTTTACTCCTTTTGAGAGCACTGTCACCAAAAGAAAAAGAGTGACCTTAATATAGAATTTCATGCACAGGGCAAGATCCATTGTTATGTATTGAATTTTCTTTTTACTTCCATATTTTTAATAGATTTGGAGGGGCTTGAGGTTATTTTCATTCGCTTTTCTTTAATGAGCTTGTCCACACAACCCATGGGTTTTCAGTCTTCATAAGCCAATTCTTGGGGGATGGAATATAGGTATTATTTGATTAAAAATCCCAGTGATTTGGTTGCTACACAATGGTTTCAAAGTTTAAAATTGAGTTTGAGGGTCACAGCAATGAAAATAGCTCAGACTCAGAAGAGTTAAGGAACCATTCCTTCGGACTTTGGCATAACTTAGTCCTTACAAATAATGATTCTGCGTGACTGGGGAATGATTTAAAATGTAGTCTTGTAGAGTTGAAAGGGTCCTTCACCTCATTTTCTGATCACCATTTCTATTTCCAAATTGGGCAAAATGAGCCATCACTTCTACCAAGGTACCAATCATTTTAAGCGATAATCCCATAAATCAAGTTAATTCTTAGGCTGCAAAAAAAGTCTGAATTTTCATTAGTTCTTAAAGATCTTAACTATAGGTTTCATATAGTTAGCATTTTAAGTTCAAACATCTCTGTAACTGACCATCACTTTTGCATTTTAGCATCACAGTTGTATGTATAATTTATTCTAATTAGGCCTGCATGTAGGTGGAGAATGGGAGGGGCAGGTCACTGTATCTTTTTTTTTTTAATGTTTTATTTATTTCTAGCAGAGAGAGAGAGACAGCGTGAGCAGGGGAGGGTCAGAGAGAGAGAGGGAGTCACAGACTCTGAAACAGGCTCCAGTCTCTGAGCTGGCAGTCAGCACAGAGCCCGACGCGGGGCTCGAACCCATGAATCGCGAGATCATGACCTAAGCGAAAGTCGGACGCTTAACCAAGCCACCCAGGCGCCCCAGGTCACTGTATCTTTTAATCAACACTATGGAGTGCTCTTGTTTGCACAGTGACGCATTCTCAAATACTCTGGCACTCTTCAAACTAACAGAGTTAACAGTCTAGGGACAGAGAAAACACTGGGTTGTGCATTTTAAAAGGTTCGTATAAGAGTATCGGCAGGAATCTCAGGTATTTGAGTCAAGGCTTCTGCAATTTATAACCATAAATGGCAGTAAAGGGCTTTTTTTTCCCCCTCCAGAGAATAAAAATCTTCTATAAACTTAAACCAGACTGAGTCTTTGAGTTCATGATGGTTATTGATATCCAGCTGCAGCAACTGGCTTCTTCCAACAACTCTACAATGAATGTTTCCCATATTGGGGCACCTGGGTGGCTCAGTGGGTTAAGCGTCCGACATCAGTGCAGGTCATGATCTAGTGGTCCATGGGTTTGACTCTGTGCTGATGGCTTGGAGCCTGGAGTCTGCTTCAGATTCTATGTCTCCTTCTGTCTCTGTGCCTCCCCTATTCGCCCTCTGTCTCTGTCTGACTCCATCTCTGTCTCTCTCTCAAAAATAAACATTAAAATTTTTGTTTAAAAAAAGTTTTCCATATTACCTACTTTCTATTTATCTGCACCCCTCTTGATCACTTCCAATGGGACTTATTGCATTTGGTAACATGGCAACAACTTATTATGGCATATCACAATCATGGGGGAGAACTGGTAAAAATTTCTAAGTCTCCATTCATCAATGAGAATCAATAAAGAAGGGAAGCATAAAGAAAGTACTGACGGTGTTGATAACTGGTGAGGATTTGGTCCAGGGGTCCAGGAGCATACAGTGAGAAGTCAGAGATCACCTTTTCCACACTGCCAATATGGTGGGGATTTGGGGAGAGACTGACTTGAATGCCAGTCTGGCGGGGAGTAATGCCTTCCTATCTAAGGTGCCATATATCACCTGCTCAATCATAGTTGTCCCTGACCTCAGGAAGAAAGCCTGTCCCTAAAACACATGCCCAGTGTTCAGAGATCTACTGAGAGATTCAGAGAACTACTGTTCAGAGATCATTGCACCTTTTTTTTTTTTTTAACATTTTAAGATAAGTATTATCTTATCACAACAATTTTATTATATGCCAGGCACCATTCCATGTGTTGTTGTTGTTTATTTTTTAATTTTTTTAATTTATTTCTAGGAGAGAGAGAAAGCATGAGCAGGGGAGGGTCAGAGAGAGAGGGAGTCACAGACTGAAACAGGCTCCAGGCTCTGAGCTGGCAGTCAGCACAGAGCCCGACGCGGGGCTCGAACCCACGAACCGTGAGATCATGACCCAAGCGAAAGTCGGACGCTTAACCGACTAAGCCACCCAGGCGCCCCTATTCCATGTGTTTTTAAGGGTAGTAACCCATTTTGCCATCTCCATAATACTGTGTGAAATGAGAAATATTATCTCCATTTTATAGATAAAATGTGGAGGCACAGTGAACACAGCACCTTGCCCAGATTCAACGTGGTTAGTAAGTCCGGGATCAGCACAGATTTTCTCTAAGAACCAGGTAGTGAATAGCATGGACTTCCAGCCATGCAGCCTCTGACCTCGTGGATGGGCACGTTCATGTTCCAACAAAATTTTATTTCTGGGCCCTGCAATTTGCAGGCATCGTATAGTTTGCATGTGCCATGAAATATTTGTTCTTTTGAATTATTTCAACCACTTAAAAGTCTAAAAGCCATTCTTAGCTCTTGGGCTGTCTGTTTAAACATAAGCAGCTCACTGGGTTTAGCTTTTGAGCTGTGGTTAATGGTAGAGCCAGTATTTGAACCTGGACAATGCAATTCCAGTGAGCTCTTAATCATTATAGAGTCTATATCATGATAATAATAATAAATCATGCTCTTTATAGAAAACTCAGCAAAGCATGAAAGAGAAAATAAGAGCCACCCATAAAACCACAACCCAGAAATAATCATAATTATATTTGATACTTTCTTCCATTCTTTTATCTACTGTATGCAGTATTCCATTTATTAATTCTAGCTCTTCACTTATCATAAGCATTTTTCACATTTCCCTGGAGGCCACACAATTATAGCTCATTTTAAAGGTACTAGGGGAAACTGCTGTTCTGAAAGAATCTTATCGCTAATAATTTCCTAAAGCAAAGAATCCTTTTATTAAGTGAGCAGTTGGTCATGTTCCATTTATCTGCTGCATGTTTGCATTTCTCAGAATTGGATTTTTAAAAGCAAGCCAATCTGTGCACAGGGATGTAGTAAAAAGGCTTTGGTTTGGCTTCTCACTGTCCCTTTATTAGTCAAATGACCCTGAGCAAATTGTTGACTTTCCTTTAACGCATCTCAGTTTTTGCTTGTACTGAAGGTAAACCAAGACCACCATATACAAAGTACTGAGCATGGACCTAGCAGAGAATAGTGGTCAATTGGTAGCAACAAGCCCTTATGTTCCTTGTTACCCCACACGATTCCTAGTCCCCAGTACCACCCACAGGAAATCAATTATTTCACTTGTGACTGTTGAGAAAGTCTTTTTCTGTTCTGTACACTGCAAGAGCTTTCCAAAGTAAAAATGGGCCAGTAATGCTAATCAGGAAGATTAATGAGGTGGGTGGACCTGAACTGGAAGCCTCCACCCCACCCACCTATCACTCCTGCTCCGCCCCAGATTCTTTAGTTTTCAAATGTAAGCCGTGCCCAGGTTCCTACAACAGCAGGTGGCATTCTGACATCAGCAGAGGCTGTGTTCCTTCAGGTACAGAGGAACCTCTAGACCAGACATCTGAAAAGAATTCAAAGCCCAACCAATTCCATGAGCAACAAAGATTTCGTGGAGCTGAAGAGTATGACGGCCCCTGGAGCTGAGGGCTACAGCAACACTGGCTTCCAGGTGAGCAGTTATATCTTGTGTTTGAGACCAAGTAAATGGAAATTATGCTCATTTCTCACCATCTTGGCAAGTTTCTGAACGAAAGCAGTGGGGTTCTTGGAACGCAATAAGAGTTTTTCATAATACTCTTTAAACCTATGCTTTTTTTTTCCTTTGTGGGCTCTTCTTGGGTTGACAAACCTGAAAAGCCTCTTTTAGTAGAACTTGTTTTGATCCTTGACTTGCCCTGTCACTTAGAAACAAGATTGTCTTCTCGGGCTTTTGTTTCAGGCTTATGAGCTCTGCCAATATTTTCCAAAGACCTGGTATGAGGGAAAGAACGGGGAGACTCCAGATCCTGGATGTAGTGAGCACTGTAGGCTTTCTTTCTCTTACACCAGCACCCAATGCCCTTGTCAGATGGGAGCCTGTGTGCCCGCCCCAGTGCAGCTGGGTTACGCAAACCAGTCTCATGTCATCAACCAAAACTCACAGAGTGATTAATGCTGCTTCACATCGGGGCTGGGTGCTGCAGAGGCCCGGAAGGAGCCCTGTAACCGGAAAACACTGGGCTGTTCTGACAGGCTCTGGGATGGGAAATTTTTCAGGGGTGTTCTTAGCTGTGCTTCATTTCCTGACCTGACATGGGAGCCCACACAAACAGGTGCCAGCAGCCTGTTGGGACTCAGGATCACCAAAAAGGCAAAACAAACTTTCAGGCACTAGCAAAGGAGGGAACAAGGAAGGTAAAAGGGCTTTGGCCTAAGTCCTAAGTCTTTTACCCACAAGTGACTGTAACTTCCTTGAGCTTCATTTCAGTTGTCTACACAGTGATCACACTGATCTTCATCTCATAGGTCATAAGTATAAGGGAAGAAAAGTCTTTTCCTCTACCCTCTTAGATTCAGCAGCTGAGGTCCACGAATTAAACTGAGAAATGGCAGATTACCTGGAGAAAGGCATACGAATTTTATTAACATTTCTCATTTTATATTAATGTAGCTTCACAGAAAAGAAATAAAAATTCAAAGAAGCATTAAGACTCAGGGTCTTATGTACCATTTTAACAAAGGCCAAAAAATTGTGGAGAAGTGATTAGACCAAAAAAAGGAGATTAGGATTTTAGGGTCAAGAAATTGTGGGAAAGTGACAAGGAGATATATGGGGGCAGCTAATGGAAGATAAGGCTTGACAGTGAGGTTTACCCAATCTTAGCACCATCTCTGTTTCCAGGGACAGGCATGTTCTCTGTCTGTTATGGTAGGTGGGACACCTGAGCAAGGGAAAGTTCTGCTCTGCTCTAGACAGAGAGAGGAAGAATGAAGGGCTCTTCCTGTGTCTGCTTTTTCTCAATTGCCTTCAGCTCAAAATAATTCTCATGCCAAAGTGGCAGGTTTGGTGGTGGCATAGCCTGATTCCCCTCATAAGGGTTAAATGAGAAAAAAGCATAAAGCAGAGGGCCTTTTATGGCTCAAGAGAATAGAAGGGCTAGAATGGAATAGAGTCAAAGTGAGTATGACAGCAAGACAAAGATGTCTGCAGGAGAGGCAGGTCCATGTCACCAACAACTGGTAGCCCAGCCAGTGAGAAGGACACACATCCACCAAAGATAGCCCTGTTTTCTATCCCTCATTCTCTTCCATCAATTAAAAATATTTTTTTAAAGCATCTCTAGGTCTCAGGGTGCAGAACAAGGCATCTCAAACCCAGCAGAATTCACACACATCAAGTAGCAACAATGTTCTTTCTTCCAACACCTGCTGCTTGACAAGAATTTCCAGAGACACATATTTACTCAGCAAAACCATCAACTGCGCCTTAGATAAGACCACTGCTGGAAAGGGATACCAATTCACGAAGGAATAATACACTAGTCTTGTCCTCAAGGAACAAGGCAGGCAGAAATTATAATGTGATGTAAAACAAAAACAAAAAGCAATGCTGGCAGTTGGCACCAAGTACATTACCAATAACTATGCAGGTGGAGCTGGGTTGACTGAGGAGTCTCTGATCACCTTGCAAAAGGGGAGAGAGCATCAGTTAGGGCTTAAATGTGGGCAGGGATTTCCCAGTTGAACAGAAAGGTGTGTCACCAGAACGCTGTAAGTGAAGAGAACTGTCTGCACAGGCCCAGGGGCCTGAAAGAATATGTGCACTGGGGATAGAGGAGTTGAGGAGCAGAGGCCCCAGAGAAGGGATGGGGCAGGCTGGCCCCAGATCACATGGCTTCCAACTGGCCAAGGCATCAGGAAAGAATAGATCAGAATTTACACTATCAAGGGGCGCCTGGGTGTCTCGGTCAGTTAAGCACCCGGCTCTGGATCTTGGCTCAGGTCTTGATCTCAGGGTCCTGAGTTGAAGCCCCACGTTAGGCTCCATACCCAGAATGGAACGTATTTAAAAGAATAACAAAAGAATGTATACTATTAAAGTATTGAAGTATTCTACTACCCCCATTGAAGGTGGACAAAATGGAAAGAGATTTCCGTGTGGTTGGGACACCATTTAGGAGATTGGTATGATAATCAGATTGTAGCTTAGAGGCTGAAACTACCAGAGGCTGGTGAAAACCAGCCCTAGACAGAAATGCCGATACTAGAAGGAGGCCCCCTTGGCCATGCAATTAGCATTGAGTCAGGGTAAGGTAACAGCTGCTCTGGCGATGAATATTTCCATTTTCTCCTCTCTAAAGTTGGATAATAATCCTGGGGTTGAGAGAATTAAATAAGCTAGTGGTTTTTTTTTTTAAATATGTAACATTATGTAATATATGTTTGAAAAAAACTGCTGTTTGTTCCAGCTGCTATAACAAAATACCACAGACTGGGTGGCTTATAAACAGAAATCTATTGCTCATCCTTCCAGAGCCTGGAAATCTAAGGCTGTGACACCCGCAGACTCGGCGTCTGCCAAGGGCACACTTCTTCATGGGCAACTATCCTCCTGCTGTGGCCTCACGTGGCAGAAGGTACAAGGGAGGTCTCCGGACTCTCTGTTGTGAGGGCACTGATCCTATTCACGAGGGCTCTGCCTCATGACCTGATCACCTCAAAGGCCCCATCACCTAATACTGTCACCTGTGCATTCGATATTCCAAACAGGAATGGGTGGGGGGCAGGGGAGTGGGTAGGGGACACATTCAGACCATAGCAAATGCCTAGCATGCACTGTGAACATAAATAATAATAACTCTAGGTGCTGGGGCAGATTAAAGAGAGTGAACATTTCTAGCCTGAGATCTCAACCGAGAAGTGGTTTCCTTTATGTAGACCAGAAATCCAGAAATAGGGCTGGAGCAAGGAAGACTATGAGTTCGTTTTGAAGTCTGTTGGTTGAAATTAGGGTGATTTCATAGCCCTAGATGACAATGGAGAGGAGGCCGGAAGCTCTAGGCATAAATGCACCTGGAGTCTACAAGGGAACCCCATGCATTTGGGGGCTGTTGGCACAACGATGAGCCAGCGGCGTGGACGACGCCAGGAAGAGGGAACCCAGGAAGCCCGTGTTTCAGGAGCTGGAAAGTTAGAGCAGTCAGAGGATGGAGCGGAGAGGCCACAGGAGAGAAAGGGGAGCAGCTCCAGGAGAGGGAAGGCTCTGGGGAAGCCAAGGGAAAAGAGAACTACAAGGTTAGCAGCAAAGACAAGTTCATTGATTTGCCAACCAGGAGGTCACCGGTGACCCATGTGGGATGGGGGGCAGTTGAGTGATGAGTGGGAGTTGGGAAACTGGGGGAAAATGAAGTCACAGAGGAAGCTCTCCTGGTGGAGAGCGGAGCTGGGAAGAGATAGGCTCAGAGGCGGCAAGATTGGGGCTGTGGGCAGAGAGCTCTTTTATTTTTTTCTAATTCATTATGAAATATAACATGCGGAAAAACACACAAAGTCAAACAGACAGCTTATTATAAAGTGTCACCCAGGTCAAGCAATAGGACATTGCTATCCCTCAGCTCCAACGCACCAACCCTGCACATCGGTCACAACTGCCCCTGCCTACGGGGGTAACAATGATCCCAGTGTTATGGTAATTACTACCCTGCTTTGCTTTATACCTTAACTTGTAGTTATGAATCCCTAAGCACTGCTTTTGCCTGTTTTTGAACTTTATATAAATAGAAAATTACAAGAAAATTCTTTGCTTATTTTAAAACATTTATATGGAACTAGGCAAGAGGAATTCTTTTGGACCTGACTTCTTTTGCTCAGTTTTGTTATTTCTGAGACTCAGCCATAGTGTTGCATGTAAGTGGGGCTCATCCAATTTCACTGATATACAGTGTTCTCCATAAACATTACACAATTTATGTGTTTTACTGTTGGTGGACATTTGTGCCATTATGCTTGGAGCTTTTAGGAGCTTCTAGAAACAAATACGGCTATGAATACTCTTAGACATGTTTCCTGGCCCATATGTAACAAATTTGTTTGGGGTTATATTTAGGAGTGGAATTGCTAGGTCATTGGGAATGCATATATATTTTCAACTTTAGTAATAAGGTCAAATTTGTTCCCCAAGTGGTTTCACTAATTTATATTTCCATCCACAGAGTGTGAGTTCCTGTTACTCCAAAGCCTCACCAATAGTTATCTGGCTTTTTCATTTCAGTGATTCTGGTAGCTATATAGTGGGTAGTGTAACACTGATATTTCATTTTAATTTTCTTATGTTATTAGCCACTAGATGCCACCTTTATGAAATAATTGTTGAAGTCTCTTGCCCATTTTCTCTACTGGATTTTGTCTTTTTTCTACTTATTTGAAAGAGTTCTTTCTTAAATGTTCTGAATACAAGCCCTTTTCCAATTATATGGTTTACAAATGACTTCGACCACTGAAACTGTCTTTCACTCTTTAATATTTAGATGCACAAAAGTTAATTATTTGAGATCCCATTTACCATATACTTCTGTTTTATATATCCTGTTTGAGACATCTTTTTCTTCTCTGCAAGGTCATAAGGATACTTTCTCATATTTTCCAAAAGCTTGTTATTTCCTTCTACATTGAGGAGTCTGGTCCCCCTGA